TAGTTAAAAATCTTTGACTTCTTATTTGACACGATTTTTTAAACAATTATTTTAAGGAAGAACTTCATTAGGCATATGTTATTAAAGATTGCAATATATCCAGATTGTACTTGCATTTAATTTTATTTCATTATTACGATGTGTGAATATATCGAGCATTCCTTGCATTCCATTAGAAAATATTAAGAGAATTTATCTGCATTTTGCCTTGAAAAAAAAAAACTATGATACAAGGACATATTTAAGTATGATATTAGTTTTAGATTAATCATCGTGCAACTAATAAGTTTAATCAAAAAATCATAATTAATAATTAAAATATTGATTTGGCAGTAGGAAAAATTAGTTGATGTACAAAATGTAAATTGTAGATAATTATTGTAATAAACTTTCAATCATTATTATTACATATCTGGATAAAAATAATGGAAAATATTTATGATAATAATTTCATGATGTTTATTGAATACCTGTGTAACTTGTATTTTATTACACGTACTATTTTATGAAGCTTGGAGACTATTTAAAGACAATTTTATATAATTTATTTAATTTTTTTCTAAACTTAATACATCATTGGAAACAAAAACTTAAGTCATAAACCAGGTTTGACATGAACATATTATATAACAAAACATCATTAATCTACATGTAACTGCTGTCTCTTCAAACTTTAAAAACGATTCATCAACTGGACAGATGTAAGAATTCTTTTGAAGTTGCTCGATTTCCAGGTTAAACAAACTTATAAGTTGATAATTTTTTAAATTATTATCAAGTCACAATTCAGAAACAAATAATATATTAAAAAAAATCGAATACAATCGAACAGATAATAATTTGAGTTTTGTAAAACCATCTTGCACTTGTCTTGCTTTTGTCCCTGGTTCAGTTCTATTGATTTTACTACTGGAATCTCTGTTATTCCTTTTACTTGTACTAATTTTTTATTATTATTAAAATACATTATTTAAGGAACTTCTGGTCAATATTTATTCCAATTTCCATCAGTGTTCCAGATTTGCATACCACTTATAACTTAAAAAGTACCTACATTCTTCAATGACTATCTCATAAGTCTCATAAGAAATATGCTAAGTGGACACTTGTTATCCCACAATATGTAAATTAATCACTACTGAGAGACCAGATGTCTTTTGTATATTAATTTTATTTATGCACTACTATTATCATATCAACATAACTAGTTTTAGATTAATTAATTACCGATTATTCTAAATAAAAACTGCCAATATTAATAATGGAGAGATGTGGGGTGATAAGATTGATAATTGATTTATTTGAATTATTGCTTTTTAATATACATAAACACAAACACACATGATATTTATAATTACAATATTTAAATTGGTATGATACTAATATTTATGTAATATGATTTTCATAAATACAGAGCTTTTAGCCAATCATATGATTCTTATTAGAATCCTAAAAATAATTACGTTCTCATTAGACTCTTTCAACTAATTCCGTATTGCATAAATATATTATATTATACGTTTTAACATGTATAATTTGAATTTATTTATTTAAATTAATTTATATTTATTTATTTATTGGCTATTTAAATATATAATTTATTTCACTTTTATTAAGTTTATTTCTTTAAGTAGTTTATTCCAATTTTACACCTTCAACTCGGTACATGAATTATATATTTTAAAGTTAACATACCTTTTTATAAAATATTTTCTCTCGAATTAAATTTACTAATAACCATAACATTATATTTCTCGTGTTCTCGTTTAAAATAGCAACTGAATATATTGCAATTTTAATTAATCCAACTATTGCAATGACCTAATATAAATGTTGCTTGAATTATTACTTTCAAATGGAGTAAATGTTTTTTGGTGCCTCAGGGTACATTTATATTAAATCATAAATTATAATAATAATGTGATTGTTGATATATAAATTCTGCATTGAATAACAATCGATTCTAACTAGAATTGAACAGGATTGTTTTCTATATTATCATCATTCAGATAATTATTTATTTTTTGTTGAAAGACGTAGAAAAATATATAACTGTAGAATAAAGACATAAATGTTATTTATAGCTCAATTTAATACTTGTTTGATAATTTAAAATAGTCGTGGGTTAATTTATTCTCTAGTATATAAGTCTGTCAGCATAATATTCATATAAATAAATGTTCAAATAGTTTTGATCATAGCTAAACAGTTAAAAAAAATGAGTTGATTATTTTGATCCAATTAGGAGATAAAAATGTCTAATAAATTTATGATACAAATTTGAATTCAAATACTACTTATTTAAAAAATATCACTTATTGATTTCTTCGATATTTTTCAAGAATAATACATAATAATTTATTGTTTATGATTGCTATTCATATACCAATAAATTTTATTTTAAATTATAATATTTATATTGAATATTTTTTCATATTATACCAGATACGATTTTATAAGATAAGTAGAAAATAACATACTTATAAAATTACTTTTAGATCAAAATAATATAAAATTTTTATATTACTAGTTCAAAATTGATCAATCCCCAATTTTCTGATAGTATATTTGTATAAAAAGTTGTATTTGTAATAATTTCATAGGGTATCACCCCTTGTTCAAAAAAAAAATTAATCTTATTATATACCTGTTGCATTACATACATACAAAAAGTGCATATTACATAATAAAAAAATTCCTGTAATATCTTTTAATAAGCAAATAATAATTTTTCATTAATATCGATATTCTTATATTTTTTGACCAATTTGCAATTTTTTAAGAATTTCAGCCATGCTTCTATCGATACATTTTGAAACTATTCAAGAAAAATATTTTTTTAATTAATTAATTTTGATTGATTTTGATTTTTGATTAATTGATTATTTTTCTGCAGGTTCTTTGCAATGAAAACATGGTTCTTGGAAAAAAATAATTTTACCTATGGTTCCTCGGGAAATAAATTAGAAGTCATAGGACATTACACACAACTCGTATGGGATTCTACTCACAAAGTGGGTTGTGGATTTGCAAAATGTTTTAGAGGAGGACCAAAAGACAAACCTTACTATAATTACGTTTGCAACTACTGTCCAATGTAAATATCAAAAAAAAAAAAAAACAATATAATAACATTTAAACAATAATACGTTTTATAATTTTCAATTATTATTTTTTTAGTGGGAATGCCAAAGATCGTTTAGAACGACCCTACAAACGTGGTGAATTTTGTGCATCTTGTCCAGGCCAGTGTCGTGTCAAAAAACTCTGCACAAATAGTTGCCCATATGCAGATTTATGGATAAACTGCCGAGAATTGCATGCTACTTGGGCAAATTGGCTTTGTAATACGGAAACACCTCAGGGTAGGGACCGAAGGCACAACTGTAGGGCGACTTGCACATGCAAGGGAAAAATTTATTGATGGAATTAAAATATTGAGGTTGAATGATTTATGCTGGTTGAATGATTGTTATTAAAGGTAATAAAAAATTGCCTGCAAGAGTTAAAGAAGTGATTCGCAAAAAATGCGAGCAAATAAAATATGAAACATTAAATGGATTGTGTGAGGATTTGGGCAGCATTTGGTAGTATGAATACAAAAATCAAATTTGATATTACAACACAAGTATTTGTTGAAACATTAAATCCTGATTATTAGTTTTTTTCAAAATTTTCATCTGACGATTATAAATTATTTTCTATTTTAATTTATCATGATTGTTGCTTATATTTATGGTTTTATTAGAGGACTATTCATAATTTTAAAGTCATCAATAAATGTTCATAATTATAATTTATTGGCCACAAACTAAATAAATGTGTCATTTTTGTGTAATTTTAAATTTTATTTGTACAACTTATTATTTAGTTTACTTATGCTTTTTGTATTTTTTATATCAATTTTAATTTAATTTGACCAAAAATTGAATTAAACAACTAAATAATATTTTTTTTGCAAACTTTCAATTTCTTTGTTAATAATTCGGATCTCAATTGCTTAGTTATATAAATTTTGAATTTAATTCGTAAATTGATTATTACCATGATTTTTTATAATTTTGTTTTAGTATTAAGCCATGACAGAGATTTTAAAAATCGTGCCATTAAGTTCGATAAAATATTATGTTTACACTTTTAAGAACAGTTATTGTAATAAATAATATATTATAGTATTTAATAGTTATTAATAATATCATCATATAGAAAAATGATTTTGAGCACCAGCCATAGTATTAATATAATAATTATGTTACTTCTGTAGTTGTTTAGAAGATAGAAAAAATCAAACAAAGCAGTTTCATTTGATTTGAACTGATAATATATTTATGTAATTGAATTTAATTTTAATAAATATAAGAATTTAATGTTTTTTTTAATTTTTTATACAAAATTTATATAAGATGTACCAAATTTTTAGACATCCTGGCAGACCCTTAACAAATTCTTAGAAACTATGTATTTTTGAAGTATTTATTGCTCTTTTTATTAAATCAATTAATGTAAATACATTGAATTCAATGAAATAGCTATAAATTGCATATAAATTCAAATTATTTCTCTGAATTACTTTTAATTAATTTAAATAATAACAAATTATTTTTGGCTCTCATGTATATAATGCATAAAATTAATTATATTCGATTTGCCTAATTTTGTTTTTAGAAATCGTTTATTATTAAGACTATATTTGTCGAAGTGTTGAGTAACCTAAGTAACAGAAAATCTATTTAAATGTTAACAAAATACATGAAATAATATAAAAAAGCAATGCTAAAAAAATAAATAAAATATTTTCGAATATAATATGTTGTAAGACATAAAGAATTTGTTCAGCAGTACCATCTATAAATAGTTTTCGGCAGTTATTTGTTTAAAATATCTTATTTATTATTACCTACAGATGACTGTAGTGTTCTTAATTTAAAAACTCATTCTTCAGAATATTGAAGAAAAAATATTTCCTAGGAGTTCAGGAGTGTTGAAGGTCTTTTGGGAGTTGATGGTGTACCTTGATATTATCCTGTTGTAATGTAGGTATATAATAAAATAAAGCTACAAAAATCAATTTTGAATAAAAATCCGAATATATAATTCTTTCAATTTAGACGAAAATTTCTGTATATATAAAAAAATAAATTAAAAAATATTTTATAAAGGTTTGTCTTTGAATTAGAAAAAGCGGTATATAATACTTAAAACCAATATTTTCATGATAAAAACCGGCGATATTATTTATAATGCTATACCGTTTTTTTTTAATTTTCTGTATTAGCATGTTCAATTACGTTGCAATTTTACCAGTGCTTTTTATTTGGAATTTTGTAATGATCAACTGTTAAATATTCTGATAATTGCCAACTGACTTCCACAGTGCCTTTATTATTAATTTTATACAAAAAAATTTTTTCTGAAGGGTAAGAGAAGAAATAATTATAAATTCTAGTAAATCATAATTTAAATTATATTGTTTAATCCCAGCCTTTAAGGAAAAATATAAAATATTTTTACTTGACCGTTTGATGGCTCACTAAACAGGTACTTACTATTTTGGCTTTTGCAACTATTCTGTGTGGAATAGGAACAAATCAACCACATATTATAATTATATAATAAAAGTATGTATTTACTGTTTAATTTATCAAAAATTAAGGATATGTAAAGCACATGTGACAACAATACTTAGATATTGCAACTATATAGTAAAAAACGAGGAACATTATTCGGTAACTTACGGATCATTCTTAATATAAAATTTCCTCTTGCACAAAATGTTGAGTATAGCTAAATTAGTTCTATTTGGTTCAAATTATTTATTAATCATCGATATTATATATTGTACTATATTATCAATAGCTATTGTTTATGTCTAATCAATAGTCCATGGCCTATCTATTCTATCTATTATAGAGGCGAAATATGCCTCCATCCGCGCCTGTAAAGAGCATTATTGTTCGCAAGTAGCATCCTGTTATTCAAAATACATATTTTAAATGACAAAGCATCATTCATGCGAATAATGGATGTCTATTCGATTTTATAATCATAGATTTATTCGGAAGAGCACCAGGTCACACGATTCTCTGAACTATTAAATGGCAAAATGAGGTCGCAACATACTGTTGAACATCATCTAAAAACATCGGTTCAGGTTCTTGTTATGCTAATTGTTTTGTTGGGACACGGGGTGAAGCTAAGGCTTTTTTGGGATGAGATTTTAGTAGAAATTGATATATACTTTGATTATCAATTTATTTAGAATCATTGTTATGCTTGAATTTTATTATATTCTACGAAGCCTTAGAAAACTACATATCGAACATACCTTTATAATTATTTATAATGAAATCAGTATTTATTACTATTTACGTGGTAGTTTTTGTTAGACGTGTTCAAAAGTGATGTAACAATTTATTGTGAAATTTGGAACCTAGATATTTACTCTGAATTCATCAATAACAAATGTGATTCAATTAAAATTTAGAACTAGATATTAATTTCCGAAATACTTGATGTATAATCTTACAAAGAGTTGTCAGTGTCAGGATCACAATTGAATATAGTCTCCATTTAGATATTCCTTGAAATCTATACTATAAATATTTTATTAGTATTAGAAACATTTTATTAGAATCTTATAATAATATAAATAATTCTTAGAGATATTAATGGAACCTATTATATATACATTTCTGATTATGTAATCTTATAACATCGATTTATTTTATTAATTTCTTGCAGTTTGAAATCAATTTATAGTATTCAAAGAGTATATGATAATTTTATAATTGTTTTCTGAAGTATCTAATGAGCAGCTTTTTGGTACAGTATTAATGTTACAATGAGAAAAAAGTACTAACTATATCTGAAATATCTTATTGGATATATTTTGTGAAATCATGACCACTTTGTAATAAACAAAAGCAATAAATCTACTATACATTATTCATTAAAATAAGCGTAAGAAGTTATTTTATTTTTTTGGCAGTTTTTGGTTATTAATTTATTTGTAATACCTATTAAAAAAGTGTTTTAATTTTTAATAGGTGCTTTTACAATTGTGATTATCTTCAATATGTTATTGAAAGTTGTTTGTGAAGTCATATATAATTTTTTTGTTTTTTTTTATTAACTACATTCTGTCTTTACATAATAAAAAATATGACATTGAGAAATTTTGAACATTTAATATCTATTCTAAACGAATACTCAGTAGTAAACCTTTTCAACTTTGATAAATAAATGAAATTGAATTACTGTCAAATGAAGTGAACATTACTTAAATTATAGATAAATTGTGAAATCATATGATATTTGTTACTTAATGAAGTGATTTTTTATAATGAGGATATCTTGAAAATTTGATTTTAAACACAGTACAACATTGTTTAAATTATATAAATTATTATATATTTCAAATAATAACTTTTTACAAAATTCAATTAAAAAAAAATTAGTGGTGGTATATAGATTTTATTGTTTCTTTGATTTTCGTTATTTTTGTTTGTCTTTTATAAATATAGTTAAAGACAAAACTAGCCATTTAACTACATAAATGAAACTATTATACTAAACTGAAAAGTTGATTTATTTTTATCAATTTATGGCAGTTATAATTCATCCTTTATTCATAAAATTCAATTTTTTTATACGTGTAATACGTTGCTTTCGAGTGATACAAAACCTTGCAAAATATTGCTAATTATATCAAGAAAGTCAAATTTCTTCAAAAATTTCAAAATTCACAAAAATCTAATTTTTCCAGAGCATTCAAAAAATCTTTAAGGTTTTTTAGAAAGATGATTTTCGGTACGGAAAATTCCAGCAATTTGCCTTAAACCACGATGCCATGCACCACTAGTTATCATTACATACATTTTATTTCAGTTTATAATTTCGTTCGTGCAAGTGTGAAAGGTGTCCCTTACAAAAATGAGCGAAAAGAGTAGGATAGGTTGTTTCCGGCCCTCGGATAAAACACGTTGTAGCCGACATCCGGCGTCGGTTCATGCAGCGTGACCAACACACAAGAGAGCACCAGATCACTACACAAAAACACGAACAACAGGTAGCACAAAGAATATTATGTACATATTTACAACTAGTTTTACATGGCGGAGAAGAGAGGACGGAGGATTAATTTACTATGTACTCGGTACTATGTAGAAAATACGTGCGATTTTGCGACATCACTATAAACGCATTGTTAATAAGGACAGGTATAAAGACGCTAATGGTCGTTAATGCAGATTTAATTGTCCTGAAATAAAATGCATATGAGGTGTTAATCATATTGTTCTTGAGCTAATTGCATTAAATGTTAGATGTGTAGAATTTTTAGGTATCGTGACGAGTTAAAAGGTCTTTACTTTGAGGGTGATGTTGCTAGGTAGTGTATATATATATATATATATATATATATATATATATATATATATATATGAAGCATTGGCAGCCCACTCGTCGAATTAAAAGAAGGCTAATATAAAAAAAAACTTTATTATATTAAACGTTTCGACACTTGATGTGTGTCATCATTTAGTAACTAAACCAGGAAATCTTAATTGATTGCTCTAACGGTGTTGGACGAAAACAAAATTTATAGGTATATTACTCATCGATTATGTTATTCAAATTGGGGCATTATGTGCTCTTAATTTTTTTCATGTTCTTTTGGACAATTTTAGTGTTTTTAATAAATTTCATGTTTTTGTGTTTTTTCTTTTGATTACTGAATGATGACACACATCAAGTGTCGAAACGCTTAATATTATAAAGGATTTTTTTTATATTAACCTTCTTTCAATTCGACGATTAGGCTGCAAAATACATCAAATATATATCAACGTCGACAAAACTATCAACACACACACACATACACACACACACAGATATATATATATATATATATTTCAATTAAAATATCTCAAATAGTTGGATACTAAAAATTTAAACAAATAATTACATATTCATTTAGTTACTAATAAGTCAATCACTATATTTAGTGATTAATTTATCTACTATCTATTAATTATTTCATGGCTAGCCCATTAGTGTTTAATCATATGAACTTTAATCGAATTTTGATGAAATTTTTAAATAATATATATAATTTTTAATCAAAATGTTTTCATAGCTAGATATTAAATATTTTAAATGTATTTTGTGTTGATATTCTCTTGTCTATTAATTTAGAGAATATTCCCGCATACAAATTAATAACATTTTTCTTATATTTTATTTTTTTCTTGATACTTGATTATTCTCCAGATTTGAGACGTAAATAATTTGCAACAATAATAATTTAAATTTAATGAAATTGAATTAAATTCAAGATTTACAAGGCTCAAATAAACTCAAACTCAAATAAATTTTTTTTCTTTAAGTTAATGCATTACATAATACTAATATTGTTTTTAGTTTAATTCAATTAGGATAATTTATTTTCTGTAATTGCTAAATTTAATCCTGTATCCAAAATATAAATATAAATATAAATATAAATATAAATATAAATATAAATATAAATATAAACATAGGAATATACTACTGTACAAAATATAAAAATATCAAATTAAATAAATTAGTACTAATAAAATTCATGGCATGTTTTTGCTAATATTTGAGATCCAAAAACTGCTTATTCTGATTAATATTTTCGTCTTGAGAGACAATTATGTATCTCTAAAAGCGTAATAAACTTTTATTGTTATACTAGAATTTATGATAACGTGGTTATATATTGAATGTAAATAATTATTATTAGCACTCACAATAATGTAATTTCAAAATTCATTTCTATTGAGAACTACAAATTTATTCATAATTATTAGTTCATAAGTTTATAAATGATTATTTAAAATTAATTTATTTAGTATAACATTTTCTTTTGCATTTTACTATTCAAAATGTGTAGGTAAATAAATAGGTGATTTGATATTTTATTAATAAGTCAAAATAATAGGTGATTTGATATTTTATTATAAACTTTATGGGTATATATTTTACTCATCGATTATATTGTATATTATCTTGAGGATTGTGTATTATATAAAACAAGATAATACAAACCTTTATGAGGTTGTTTAAGTATGCATAAAAAAACTTTCTTTTTTTTCAAATAATTTTTGTTTTATTTTAACCTTTCCTAATAAGGTTTCCCGTGCATTGTATATATGCAATTTCAAATACAATATATTTACATTGTTAAAAATAATTTTAATATTAATAATATTCATTTTATTAAATTTGAAAGTTAATTTTTAGGTCTATACTCATGAAAATAATACGAAATTTTAATTTTTATTATATTTTAATTATAAATATAAGATATAAATATTTTCAGAACATACGTCATTTCTAAGTGCTACATTGGCTAAAACATTTTAAATGCTAATTTAATTATTGTTTTTAATATTTTATTTATTTATTTATTTTTATATACATTATTTTCATATCTCAGTCAGACAGAGGTGCCTGGTATGAGAGATTATGAAAACAGTTTTAATTTAATTTTGTCATTATCCTTTATTGTTGTTGCCAACTTTTTTTGGTAGGAGTTTTTTTATATTTACACAAAAGATATTGAAATCTTATTGGGTGAAATATTTCATTTTTCATTTACATTTTTGTACGATCAACCTGACCTGGCCTGGCCTGGCCAGGCCTGGCCGTCGTACCTTGGCAATGCAGGCAGCCATCAGGCTTCAGTCATGCGTCGGACGTCGAAGTAGTATCAAGGGGGATACCTGCTCATAGAAAGTAAAATTCACAACAATTTTCTTTCAATTGTTTTGTAAACGCAATGGATTTATAGTTATGTGATTATCGAGATAAGAAGTGATGAGTTCTGTAATAAAATGTATTGATATTTAACAGTTCCGATTACAATTTATTGACATGCAAATCAATTTTAAAGTTTATATGGTGTTTTTGGATACGTTGTTTTTAAGGTAAGTTTATATTTTTATTTTTGTAAAACTAACTATAAATAATTATTGAATATATGTATTTACAGATTTTTTTTTTTAATCAAATTTAATTTTTAATATTTAATATATTGCTGAACTAAAAAACTTGAACTAGTCATTCAATGTACACACGAAATTAAATAAGTAGGTGTAGTTTGAGGTATTATTAATTATAAATATTTAATTTAAATATACAATTTGAATTTTAATGAATTTTTGGTTAAAAAAATCTGTTTCAATAAGTATTTGAGAGATAAGAAAGGAATATCTTATATCTCCCAAATCTGAAACATATTTATGAATAAATAATTAACTAATAGTTTTTTTTGAAATAATTTTCTTTAGTTCAAAAAGAATAAAATCATAAATTATAATCATGTATAAATAATTATGTATATCATATACATACAATTATGTAGTACTTGACTTTAATATTTTAAATATTAAATGACTATTTCTACTGTTTTAAAGTTTTACATAACTTTAATAATAATATGTATATAACTATCTCTAAAATTTTATAAATAACACTCATACAAGATTCAATGCTTTTATATCATTTCGTATATGTTAACCATTTTATCTTCATTTTTATTTAATATTTTACACACCTTAAGAATTAATCAAATTAATATATAATATATTACATTTGTTGTTACCAAAAATTATTACTGACAATTTTATATAATAGTATAGTTATTAGCTAAAATTATTTATTAAAATTAAATAAAAATAAATTAAGAGTCATCATCACGAAGAACAAAAATAAATCGTTTAATGTATGGCTTTGTAACCCATCAAAAAACTTAAATTAACATTAGAACTTGTTAGCTTATAATTAAGTTTTTTTCCTAATTTGGAAATTTAAAAATAATATAAGTTGTTGATATCCTATTCCTAATACAAAACAAAAAAAAAACAAAAAAAATAAAAACAAATAAAAGAAATAAAAAAAACGTCTTATGTAAAAATGAATTTAAGTAAAAAATAAAATTTCATATATATTTCATATCGATAAAATAGTTTGTTCTATATTTTAAATCAGAATTTGAAAAGAAATTATTATTAAAATTACTTCAATAAAATCAATAAATTACAACTAAAAAACAATAATATTTGATTTTTGTAAATACGGTTCTGGAAACAGGAGAAAATCATTGAATATTTTCAAATTATATCTTAACTAAATTTACTTGACTATCAGTGTTTATGAATTTTTATTTGATTTTTGTATATTAGGTTGTGGAAACACTGGAAAATCATTTAATATCATTTAAATTATGTAATCCTAATGTTCAAAATGAAAATTTCAAATTATATCATTATCAAAATTACTTATTGTTAGTAAATTATAACTGTTCAGGCTATTCATATGCTTATGCATTTATATTTGATTTTTGTATATTGGGTACTGAAAAATGAGTAAATCATTGGATATCATTTAAAATTCAAAATATTTCTTCTATTTCTATTACTTTTATAAAGGGCTATTAATGTTTTTGTTTTATATTCGATTTTTATATACTGGATTCTGGCAAAAGTGGAAATGCATTGTTATTTTCTTATATTTTGTTAGCGTCCGTTCCACTTGCTTAATTATTGTTTTAATTTGATATCCTGTAGCGGAACTAAATACGTGTTCTCTTAAAAATATCTTTTTAAATAAAGCTGAAATCACAAATACATATATGTAAAATGTATTTTGATTATATGGCCAGTTTAACGTGAAAAGCTTATGAAATTCTTACAATATATGTTTATTTTGTTGTAATCACTAAATTAAATTACATCATTTATATTTGGCCTTGGGTATAACGACCTCCAAATTTACGTGGAAAATGGATATAACATAAATTATTTCTGTATGATAAAAATAATGGTGAAATATCTTACTTAAAATTTACATGCGAATATTTAAATTGAAGTTGAAACTTATTTATGTAATATTGATTTAAGGAAGATTAAATTAAATTTAAATAAAAATAAAAATGATAAAACGCATATAAAAAAGTAATAAATTTTATTATGTAATTAAGTTTTATTTAAAGCATGTTATTTTATTTCCTTGTATAAATTCATGGTATCGTAACTAACTGCATATTCGAACTTTTCGCTAGGTTGATTTTGAATATATTAAAAGTTCGGACGTTAGATAATCACCAAACCTCAACAACAATAAAATAATTCATAGATTACCAAAGTTTTCTTGTGAAGTAGAAATTCAAGATATGAGAAATTTCAAGATCCAATGTCCAAAAGATTTGATGTACAGACGAGAAATACAATTGTTAAAGAAGTAGATCCAAAATTTAAATAAAAGTATATTTATTATATAAATAAGTTTAAATATTGGGTTTTTCAGTTTTCTAATTAAATATAAAATAAAGATCATAAATAATCCGACTCCTAGATTAATATGTGTTTTCACTTTTTTATTCCATTTTCCTTTTCCTTTTTTTTTTTACATTTACATTTAAACTAGTTTTTTTTACGCATGACTATTTTATTTACTATATTTTTTTCTCATTAATTTCACACTATTAAATAATTTCAGATAACTAAATTTTTCTTAAACAAAAATATTATTTCCTCATCTTTTCTGTTCCTTGTATTTGTTGTTGATTTTCTGAATACTTTTTTCAATATTACTTACATTTTCAGGTGGATTTATTGTTTTTTTTTTTACAAAATTTAACTAAAATGAATTACTGAATTCTATGTTTATATCATATATCAAGTTTTTTTGTAAATACATTTTATTCGATATTTTCTTCGATATTGCTTACTGATTCAAAATTAATGCATTGACTTTCAGTATTTTTTAAATAAATAGTCATTTTGAATAAAATATTAGATAAAAGATGTGAAACAGACAAACACATTTTTTTATATTTTTTACAAATTTATTAATTAAAATTTGAAATTATTGCAACTATTTTTAGTATTTTTTTAATTACTAGTAATTTTGAACAAACACTTAAATATAAATTGTAAAGTAGATAATTAATTTTTACAAATTTTACAATTTGAATTTAAAATTAATACACCAACTTTCAGTATTTTATTAATAGTTTTTTCAATGAATTGCAATGGGCGAATGAATTTAAATTTAAGATAAAAATTGTAAAATTAATAAATTATGTTATAATCAACAACTTTAGCATAGTAAAATTGGATCAATAATTAATGTTATTTCTTCCTTATATATTGTTAACAATTTCTGCTACTTTTTACATTAATAGATCAAAGAATTAAAAAAATAATAAAAAAAATATTGATAAGTCTCATAACATTTTATACAAGTTTCTTGTATATATTTTGTAGGCGTTGGAATAACTTTTTGCATATCTAATAATTACCAGATTTATCAACTTCAATTTCTATTTCATTTATAATAGTACATATTGCACTTCTAAAATATTTTTATTTTTATACTCAACCAGACTTATGCTTATATCTTATACTTAACAGCAACCAGAAGTCCTTTGTTCTAAGGGCTGTTGTGCTTGAATTTTACCTTCTACAACTGTTAACCCTTTGGCTTACCTATCGATGTTTGATATTAGTACCAATATACCTCTCAATTTTACAATCAATCTAATATTTACCATATGCCTTTATAAAAATGATATTTAAAATATACCTCTGAATTTTACAAATAATTTAATATTTATCAAATACCATCATAAAAATCATATTTAAAATATACCTCTCAATTTTGCAATTATTCTAATATTTATCATATACCATTACAAAAATGATATTTAAAAGTAATGACATTATTGATGGACAGTAACTTCCAATATACCAGTAAACACTATGATATCACACAAGATCATGTATGACCCAGCACAAAGTATTATATTTATTGATACCGAAAGACATCTATCAATCCATCATATATTGTTTTATAAGGATATTCTAAAAATCCATTATTAGAGCCAGTGGTGCTATAATGGTGCTTTATAGTTATCGGTCACGGTTCCTCGAACTGCTCCTCATTGAATATTCCGAGCGGAGCACCTGACGCAAGGCAAGGCCATTGCCTTACCGGTACGCCACAAGAATATCTACGAATATATACGAATATACACCTATCCTATACGAAACACTCCGTGGTCAGTGCTGAAATAACTGAAGTACCCGTGGGAACCTCTTGGACGAGATATGAAATAGGGAGACCATATGGCGCAGACCGGTGGACGTTGAAGTCTGCATTTAATTGAAAATTCATTTAATAGAAAATTGGGGCCATTTTTTGGTTTTTGTCAAATTACGCATAAATATCAAGGTAAAGCACCCCTTTTTAGTTAGATAGCAAGAAACTAGATAAAACTTACTACGATCCCCTGCCAACAGTTATATACACACTAGAGCTGTCAAGAACCGTCATTTTCAAGGACCGGTTCCAAAGTCCAAAAAGGACCCGGTTCCGGAAGAACCGTGATCGGTTCCAACTTGGAAAAGTCCGGATCGATCCCGGAAAATTCCAGACCGCTCCGGAAAAAAGTCCGGCTACTTTTTTCTTATTAACTACCCGTAGGGTAAGTTATTGTAATGGGCCGAAAATCGAAATTGAAATTTTTTACATTTCTCGACGTTTTGAAGGTTTCTGAACATTTTGGCATACCTCAGAAAAAATTTATGTGTGTGTGTATGTGTGTATGTATGTATGGATACAAATTTCCAGTCACGTTTTCGGGCGCACGGATCAACCGATTTGAATTGTTCAAAAACATTCGATTTCTATTGATAGGGAAAAGAGCTGATTAGTTTTTGGCAAAGGCAGGTCCAGCCGTTACAGAGATAGGGAGCAAAGAGTGCAGAAAATAGAAATCGAGTTTTTGAGAGAACGGAGTATTCGATTTGAATGATCTAAAAACATTCAATTAGTAATGATTGGGAGAAGTGGTTATTAGTTTTTGGCAAAGGCCCAGCCATTTCGAAAATACGGAGCTAAATGTGTAAAAAATGCCAGTTTTTGAGAGAACTAAGTGTCTGATTTGAATGATTCAAAGAACTTTCTGCTTGTCTTAACAAAATAATTGATTTTGGAAAAAAAAATTTTTGTTTCATTTTTTTTTTTTTTAATTTTTTGTATATCGAAAATAATTCAGATTTTATTTTTAATTCTGACTATAGTTCTAATATACTTTACAAATAATTTCAACTCTGCAATTCAGTTCATATAATTCTTATAAATATTAGACAATGTTACAATATTTATAATAATTTATCTGAAAACATTCAGTATTCCTCGAACATTTCGTTACGGTACGGGAAGTTCCAGCAATTTGCCTTAAGGCACGATGCCACCCACCCCACTAGTTTTTTTTTTTTTTAGTTTTTTGTATATCAAAAATATTTCAGATTTTATTTTTAATTATGACTATAGTTCTAATATACTTTACAAATAATTTCAACTCTGCAATTCAGTTTATATAATTCTTATAAATATTAGACAATGTTACAATATTTATAATAATCTATTTGAAAACATTCAGTATTCCTCGAACATTTCGTTACGGTACGGAAAGTTCCAGCAATTTGCCTTAAGGCACGATGCCATAATTGCCTCAAGACAGAATTCCACTTACAGCTAGTTTATTTATATAATTTAAAATTATGGATATTGCAGCTTTTAACTAATAATTTATAACAATTATGAATTTATTATTCTCTATTTTTCATGACTATTTTCCCTTTTTTTTCATATAAATTCTGCTTGTTTTCCGACTGAATTCAAAAATGGTTCAATCGATTCCCATCAGACTCTAATCATCGGTTTAATCTAATATCAAAAACGTGTTAGCAAAATTCTTGTTATCGCTTGATCTGCAGGAAACTATTATAATTAGTATGTATTTTGGGCATCATTAAACGATTTTTTGTAATGTATTTTTGATATATTTATGCACATACAAGCGTCGGAAACTTTGTTCGTGTAAACTTATGGGACATTACCTGCTTTACACGATGCATATAAAGCATTATTTTAAGAATTTAAGAATTTAATACAACTGCATTATGCTACAAACCCATATAAGAATATAGAATATTTATTAAAGAATTCCACTTGTACTTTACCGTGATAGATTTAAACGTGGGAATCTATAATAACGTATGGCTTTGAATAAAAAACAAGCTGTTTAATGCATGATATGTTTACATAGATCTGCATCCATGTGAAAGTTTTTTTTTGCAGAAAACATGCCGAAGCTTATGACCTAATTAAACAACAATTATAATAATTACACACGGGATGGGCTTAGAGAAAAATAATAATCAGAAGTACTAAACATGTTTTATTACTTTTAAGTTTTGATATGCAATACAATTTATTTTACCAAAAATTTATTATTTTCAGATGACCCTGGAAAAAACACAATATATAATTTTATAATAGTATGACAAGTAAATTAAAAAAAATACAACAATGATCCTAGCAATGCCAGCTCTGACCTTAGACCAAAACGGTAGTAAAATCAATGCAGATAGCAACACATTTATCCTCCAAAGAAAATCGTCTCGGCGTCTGTCTAGTACTAGAGGTTTTAAATCTGCATTATCGATTCCATTAAAAAATGACGATGATATTGAGTCAAATCAAGAAGAATTTGAAGAAATCTCCACTCCAATTTCATCAGAAGCCGATAGTACTACTGGTTGGATCAGGGTGTACGAAGGACTTAGTTGCGAGTCAGAACATAGTAGAATTGTGTATTTGACTCATTGTACCACTACTAGAGATGTGTGCAGGTAATAAAATAGATTGTTAATTTATATAATTCAATTATAAAAAAATATAAGTTAGGGCTGAGCTTAGTGGTTTGGCGGAAAAAAGGTTCACCACACATAAGACATTGAATCTAAGTTTGCTCCCTGGATGTATCCAAAGGTATATCTACGGATTTTTTCACAATTTTTTGTAGTTGTATTTTCATTCTAGATGACCCGACATACGTTGTCCTGTACCCATTTCTACAATTTTTAATATAATACATTAATATTTACCGTTTAGCTAAAAATAATAATTTTTGTTTTTTAAATTACTCTTAACGCCAAAATGCATATACATTTATAATATGAGCGATGTTAAATGTAGAACTGCGTTAAATAAAATGATGAGTCTCAATTCCCACACTATATTGGAAATTGAAGTCTTTTAAACGGTATAACATAACCATAACCATAACATAACACTGGTACTTCATGTTGGATTAAATTAATTTAATTTTTTATTATTTAAGATATCCAAAATTGCATCTTAAACTTTTCCTAATTGTTATCGTAAGGGCCGAATTGTATGTATTCATCTCTATTTTCCCATTTGTTGTTTTAATGTAAAATATTTATGAATTTTAAAAATATTGTGGATAGATTAGTAAAAGATGCAAAAAAATTATATATTGAAAATTTTTCATCCAAATCTTGTGTTGGCGCCCCCTAAGGCGTGCGCTCGTATTTTTCGTATGCATCGCATTAAAGATAGACTGATTAATACTTAATTTTATATTTCAAGTGAATTAATTTGTCATATCCTGTTCATATGTGTGTCATTCAATCTGCGATACATATACTGTATTTTATATTATTTTAATTTCTGGAACATCTCAACTGCTTTTCGGCAATAATAATGTAGACATTTCATTTTTCTTATTCATAATCATAAATTTATTATACATATCCTCATATTGTCTAGATTCATAAGTAAATTGAAATTTTTGGCAGATGATAGTTTTCATTTGTTTTCAATGCAAGTAATGACATGTCATTTTTTGCATTTTTTCTATTTATTTGTACAATATTGCATATAGGTACATCCCAATACTTTATAATCACATATATCCTAGAAAATTTCCTTACCAAACTTCAGAAAGATTTATCAAAATTCGAATAACTGTTTATGAGGAGTATACAGTGAGTGCTTGTAATTTAATATGAACTTTAATGGCAATAAAGCTCAAATTGATTCTACGTTTAAGTTAGAAAATGTTTGTATGTGAAAAAGAAAGGGGCTGTTTTTAGGGTTTTCCCGGCATTTATTCGATTTTTTCTCACCGTAAGAACCGTCCTTGGGCTTCAACAAACATCTAAAAAAAAAAAGAATTGGCCAAATTGGTCCAGGCGTTGTTGAGTTATGCGCTTACCAACACATTTTGCGATCCATTTTTATATGTAAGATATAATATCCTTGAATTTTTTTCACAAAGTTTTTTTGGTTTTATTTTCATATAAAATATCCAAAGGTATATATCCTATATACTTTGCAGTACAAACGGGCAAATAACAAATTTTAGAAAAATAGCACAAAGAATTTAATCATAATTAAACTAGGAATTTTATTGAGCATAGTTTAAAAGTTGCCTGTTTAAGATGCGTAATGTGCTGTGATGTAGCTTGTTTGGTTTTTCCAGGATAATTACTCAAGGTCAATTTGGACTTTTATGCCCCATCCTGTTATTGACAAAAGTAAGATATTTAATCCACTATTTATTACAGGGATATGCTCCTTCCTCCCGAGTTAACTCTATGGGTCTCCTGCGGCGGAGTACGCCCAAGGCGCCTCGGCTTACGAGAACGTCCTTTGGCTCTGCAAGACACATTTTTGCGAGGAGTAGGTTACACAGATCCTTCTCGACGTTCTCGGCTAGGAGTAGACACACAATTGCGATATTTGTTTCAACTTAGCACAGGACCTGCAGCAAGTTCTCCTAATGCAGGAGCAGCCAGTGGTCATCTGCAAATTCTTAAGGGACATGTGTTTCCTCAGTGGAAGAGCAGACCTGTTGCTCTTTTTGCTAGCAAATTGCTTATATATCCTGGTAAATAGAAAAAGGAAAAAAAATCTTGAAATTAAATAGAATTAACGAATTCGTTCAAAATTGGTAATACATATGTTTTATTAATATCTGCGAATATATTAGGAATAGGAACCATATGTATCTAACCATCAACTAACTAATTATAGTAGTAATAGTACCTATCTAATTATAGAAGACACTTGCTACAGTAGACACCAGATACTTTGCATAATTTATATACTAAAATAATATTGAATTTATACCATATATAGTGCTAATATTTATCATTATCCTTTACTAGGCTATGATGAAGGTCAGCCAGATATTATAGATTTATCAGGTGGTGTTGTGGAACCAAAATCACCACGTTGTGGGCGATTGTTATTACGAGTGGCACCACATAATTCTTCTGAAACAAATACTGTATCACCTCAATCAATTAAACACGTTTTCTTCGGTTTCAATCGAACGTGGGAAAGAGATATTTGGCTCGAATGGCTGCAAAAGGTAAGTCTGATTTATTTATTTATATGAGATTATATATACATATATGTATTCTTATATGTATATACATATATATCTCTTGAGTTGTGCCTTGTTGTATGGCAACTAAACTTACAACTTGAATTGAAAAAGACATAATGTAAGGTATAAAACAAACTACATATACATGTATATATACTATGTATTTATATGTATACGTGTTATACATATATACATATATGTGTATGTTAAATGAAATTATTAAAAAATATAATTATTTGTATTAATATATGACTTATCCCTTTGTCAGACATCATTCCTTGAGATATATGATGGTCGGAATTATTATTTTGGTTTATTTCTTTTTCGAATTATATTTTTTTTTATTATTTTTTCAGTAATATTAAGTATTATAATATTTTTATTGATCATGTTTTTGTTTGTGTTTGTGTCTTAATAACTTGTGTAATTTAATTCCACTGAGGAAGTCAAATTAGTTTTCGAAACGTATGGATCAATTTAATTTATTTTAAGAAACAAATGCTAGTTTTCACTCTATTTTATTATCTGGATGAATGCGTGTTATCATCACCTAAAAATTATATATATATATATATATATATATATATATATTAGGGTGGTCCTTCAAATGGTCACTTTCGAATTTCCTTGCTCCCGGGGGCTCAAATGGTTCCAAATTGATAAAAACAATTCTCTGAAAGTTTTAGCTCTTAATATTAACTTTTAGATAATGCACAATTTAATCAATGGAAATAGCATGGAAAAAAATTTTAAAATAAAAAAAATATTTTTTTGGTATAATAGCAACAAATGAATTAAAAGTGAAAATTTTTTAAATTTTTTTCATGCTATTTCTATACAAAACTTTGATTGAATTGCGCTCTATCTAAAAGACAATATTAAGAGCTAAATCTTTTAGAGAATTGTTTTTTATCAATTTGGACCCATTTGAGCCCTTGGGAGCAAAGAAATTCCAAAATGTCCATATTAAGGACGACCCTAATGCATATATATATACATGCGTGTAAATTTATTAGGAAATGTAGATATTTATAAATTATTATATATCAACCAATATGTTTAAATGGCACATCCCTTCATCATACTTGATACCTTGAGGCATGGTGGTCGAAATTATTATTTTCGTTTATTTCTTTCTCGAAGAATATTTAAAACGTTTTTTTTATTTTGCAATAACATGATTGTTGTGAAGTAATATTTTCATTGATGTTATTTTTGTTTTTGTTTGTGTCTTAACGACTTGTAAGTTTTATTTCCAATGAGGAAGAGTCAAATTGGGACTCGAATCGTATGGATTTATTGAACTTATTTTGAGAAATATATTTTAATTTTCTTGGGATGGATGCCTGTAAAGAAGTATTTTGGTTTGGTCAACATATTTATAACCATCTGAAAAAAAATGAATATCTTACAAATCTTTGATTGAATTGCGCTTTATCTAAAAGACAATATTAAGAGCTAAAACTTTCAGAGAATTGTTTTTTCATCAATTTGGAACCATTTGAGCCCTTGGGAGCAAGGATATTCGAAAATGACAATTTTAAGGACCACCCTAATATATATATATATATATATATATATATATGTGTGTGTATTTTTTATTACCATATATTTGTCATTTAATAGGGCAATAAGTGCTCGAATTACTATGATACCGCAATAATGTGACGTGAATGCTTAGGTTTACAATAAATCTGCATGAGATTATTAGACTATGACATTAAGATAACTGAAAATGCTAATTGGGCAGAAAAATAACGATTACGAAAGACCCGGACTGATGATTCAATTTATTTTTGTGATCGTATGTTGCTTCATAATATTTATATCACGTTGTATAAAAAAGTAAACTATTCTTTTAACATATGTTAGTTGGAGTCTTCTGTTAGAAATATAATTAAATTGAGGATAAAATAATTAGAACAAAATATTTTAGGCTAAATTACTTAGGATGAAACCCATAATAACGTTCAGTTACATGTTCAGGTTATAAACTTAAATAGTTAGTCTTCTGTTAAAAAAGAAATTAATTTTCCAGAATCATTTCAACAATATGTTGATAGAATATCTTACTTTAATTGTAGTTTGTATGTGTAATCCAATAAGAACGTTCGGGTTCAGTCATTTGATTATGCATTTATTTTTGTATTTTAAAAAATATCTTTATAAAAATATTTTTTGAAAGAATTTCTCATAGTTGACATTTTTAAATTATATAACTGTTCAGTGAATTGTTGTGAGCATTCTCTATTTGTTGACGGTTTGTGATCTTGATGGCGCTTGTTTTTTTAGTGAGAGCGACGATAAGCAAAATATAATTAGAATCTATGAATTATTTATTAAATCAATTCAATTTTTAAGTTATAAATTCATATTTATAAATAGGTGTATAATAACTAAGTTATTTCATTATGGATTGAATAATTGAACAAAAATATCTAATGGTATTTCGTGAGCGATTCATTAAAGGTACTTAAATTGTAATCTTAGGAATAAGGTCTTAGGAATAAGTTCTTAGGAATAAGATCTTTGCAGTTTAAGGTTTTCGCGGTTTGTACTTATATTTAATACCTTCTGAATATAAACAAATGTACGATATTTTACAAAGCCATTTTCGAATTAGATTTGAAACACTAGATAAATTCGTACCCACGTCCGGGTATGGTAACCGTTAAAAATCTATTTTTCAATACTATTTTAAAGTATACTGAGTTACTGTAGAGCAGCAAAATATTAAGCAAAATTGTAAATTATGTCTATACAAGTTTGCTCAATATTTGATTTATATTATTCAAATTGTGCAAAAGTTATAAGCGATATTATAAACAAATGCATAAAATTCCATGACGCCAGTTTTACGAGTAAATTTATTATTTTATGATAATTAGATCGGCATTTCTATTTTATAAGTATCATGTATCAATGCAAATTAACAAAATCACAATTTTGTCAAAGGTCACAATTAATAAAAAAAATAGAGAAAATAATTTAAGGATTATAACCAAAGCATGAGAAATTAATTAAATCAACTTTATTACAAAATTAAACAACTTAATTAATTAAATTAACTTTGTTACAAAATTAAATAATATTCTCATAATTTATTGAAAAATATAAAAATTGTTCTAATGCACTACCTACCTTAACATATTATTTATCCATAGTTAGTCTCTTCAGTCTCCTAATATATAATAGCCTCAAATATTTAATTAGTTTATTTAATTAATTTTGCACTTTAACGAGCTGTTAGAGTTATATAATAATGCAATTCATATGCATATTTAAGATAATTTAAAAAAAATTGAAGTACATTAAATTAATAATAGTATATCTTATACAAGTCCAATTAAAGTAAAAAAAAATAAACAGAATATAGAATGATATGTATTGCAAATATATAACATACCTATATAATATTATTCTTGTTAACGTGTATTTAAAATATTTTTTTCGCCTGATCATATTTTTATTATTATTATTGTTTCAACAGCAATCAGAACTCTTACTTTACATTCTCTATAAGCTGTTTGTTAAAGACTTATGACCCAATATATTTTATGAGAAGCAACCCATCGGTTTACCATTCTCCTATGTGTGGGTTTATATTAGCTCTTATGTCAAATATTTATCATATGATCGAATGATGCAGCTATGTCTACAAAGGACTTGTTCCACTTGAAATTATATTGTGATAATCATATTTCTGGTGGGAACTTTAGTTTGCCTAATTCGAATGCCAAAATCCATTGATTGGACGTCCGGGTATGGTGGTCTTTAAAACATTCAATATTTTATATCATTTCCATTATTTTCGAGTAGATCTTTTAAAACTGGAGCAAGTATGAAATAAAATAAGAGTGTCCATCAACTCTGAACCTAATTTTTGGTCACGCTCAGGGTATCGTCTTGTCTTCGAGGTACAAGAATTGAAGCGCGTGCCCGCTCTTGTGTTTGCGCCCGTCTCGTCTAATGACCGACGAGATCATTGCGCGGAAACGAAAAAGATCACTCGGAATCGGAGGATGTGTAAATAATAATAAATAATATGCGTTTCCCGGAAAAAATAATAAAAAAAAGAACGACAAATTTCTAATAATATCTGTTTTTGTAAAATAGTTCAAATATACTATAATACTTTGGTAGTATGCAACTTTTATACTGAATGTGAGCGAAATGCGTTAGCCGTTATCGTGTTATTTTGGGGTTTTTATTTTTTTACTGGATTTTATTTATCAACAACCTATCAAGAATTTTATTATTTTACAATCTTGGTTAAACGCAACAAATTTTGATGAAACTTGCCAACACAACTTTAGGGCACATTTTTTAAAGAATGGCCACTCAAACTCGCCGAATTTTGAAAATTTTAAGTTTATGTTTAACGGAATGTTATGATTCTCGAAAACTTGGGGCAATTGTGTCATTATTTTTGACTATGATCTTAGAACGGTTATTTACGATTACGGATGCAAAGTTTACATGATCAAAATTATCCACAATTCCGAATAAATGGAGGCATTTTCAAAAAAGCTCTAGGTTGCACTTAAAAGCTCTTAATTTTCAAACCATGTGAGGTAATTTTTTTATATATTTTTTTTTTTGAAAATTACGATTAATACTATCATTATTTTATAACCTGAGACACAGTATATATAAATATATATTTAATACATATGTTTTTTTAATATTAGTGTTTAAATTAGCAAATTCATAAAGGTATTAGAAGCTATGAGTTTGGAAATATGACAATGGTGCTGTGAAATTAGCATGTTTAATATTTTAAGTAGTGATAATAAATTCAAATTCATTCACTTTAGAGCAGTTTTTTTAATGGACGGCTTCTCAAAATTGATAAATTTTAAAAGCTCCTGGTTGCACTTAAAAGCTCATAATTTTAAAACTACTTGAGATTATATTTTATATTTTTTTCTTGAGAGTTACGATTAATACTATCATCATGTTGAGTTTTGAGACACCCTGTA